GGCCCTCCGAGACACAGCCCGGCGGCAATGCAGGCGGTCCTGCACAACTACTCATCTACGAGGCAACCGCTTCCTGGACACAGACTGGCGGCAATGCCAGCGGCTCTTGTTTACTTTGGACACGCCGGAGGTTCAGCCATCCGAGACACAGCCCGGCAGCAATGCCGGCGTTTCTGCACGACCGCTTAGGTTGCCGCACATGTACTTGTAGTTGTGACGCGAGGTGCGTGAGACATTGCCCAGTCGCAGCCCACATGATATCATACAAAGCCCAAGGACAGACATTTTCCCTGCGGCCCTGGCGGGCTCCGAGATTTGCGCTGTAGATCTCCCCTCGGGCACTCCTGCGGCGGTAGAGGAGCCCTCCGGCGACCCTCTTGGGGCCGCCCTGCGACCCTGGCAGGTCCCAAGACGAACATCCACGCGTTAATTCTGCCTTGAAGCAGGGCTGAACCTAAACGCTTTCGTTTTCGTTTTCGTTTTCGTTTTGCTTTCGTTTCCCCTCGCTTTCGTTTCCTTCGGTGTTTGTCGTTTTCGTTTTGCTTTCGTTTCCCCTCGCTTTGTCTTCAATCCGCCTTCGCCGCACAACGACCTCGAAACGAAAACGGCCGACGGAATCACCAAAAACGCCGTTTAGGTCCATGCGTGAATTCTTCCCTGAAGCCTGTCCACGGCAGCGTGACCCGTGACAGGCGGATAGCCGGCATACGGTACACGGGTGCGCCCCCCCCCCCCTCCGTGGCCGTTGCCTCTGGCCCGCGCCGTGCAGCAGAGGCCCCTCCTCCCACCCCGAGGGCTATTCAAAGCCCAAGGACACACCAATAAATACATGCAAATAACGAGATTCCCCATATATTCCCATATTTTCTGGGCTTCTGTCTTCCCCCCCACTTCCCATATTTTCCCATGTTTTCTGGGGAATCGACGATTAATTGTGTCTGTGTGTGTGTGTGTGTTTTTTCCCTCCTGAGTTATGTTGCTCTCATCGTATACTTCAGGACCACGTCCCAGAAATCATTTCGAGCACCCAGCAAAGTGTCAAAACGGTGCCGAAACAGTGTCGAAACAGCGTCAGGCGAGTGCCTCCCAGGGCCGGACACGTGAAAGCCCTTTGAGCTCCAGTACCTTTCTGGTGCTCGAAAGTCTTTCTGGTGGTCGAGGCTAGAGTAGGTTGGAACATCATTGAAGGGGCCCACAAACACACCAATAAATACACAAATGACAAATGTTCCCCATATTTGTCCATATTTTCTGGGTTTCTGTCTTCCCCCCACTTCCCATAGTTTCCAATATTTTCTGGGGAATCGACGATGAATTGTGTCTGTGTGTTTTTTCCCCTCCTGAATCATAACCCGAGGGCGGCGATCCGTCCTGCTGGGGAGAAGATCGGGTGGGCCTGCCCTTTTCCCCCAGTGTCCGACGTCCCCCGCGAGGCG